AAAAAAGGTAAGGGAGGATAACAAAACTGGACTAAATCATTTACATTGAAAATCTCCTGTACTATGTTTTGTGTTACAAAACAGTTATAACAAAAACATTGGGGATTCATCCATTTGTCAGTGTATTCTGTGCGCCCATTTAATATCATATTAACGTTTCGATCATAGTAAGAAAAATCTGAATAGATTCATCGCTATAGGCCTTTGGGTTCTAATGGACATTATCCAGTGAAATCAGTATTCGTCAGTATTATTAGAAATGACTCGGTCTTGTTACTTAGACTACTTCTTTTATTTCTCATTGCTCCAGGACAACGGTCATGGGTACGTTCTATCTTTGCGTTGGCTTTGTTCTGATCTTTGGATCTCTAAATGTCAAGGTGTTGTCTTTATCTGGTGAGAGTTTAATGAAGCATAATTGAACGGTTTTTGGAAAGCTTCAGAGCTTGTGCTTTGAAACAACCACCAAGTAACCGACTGATTTTACGTGCCCCACCGAAACAAAATCACAGGCACTCAACGAGAATATAGTTCAAAACCACTTTAAGATAGCATTGTTAAAAACGTATTTTAGTGTTTAAACGGTAGATATAGGCATATTTTTATCTCCTGAAAATTTTTCATCTGTTCGGATTTCCTAGCTGAAAGTCTAGTGATCCGAAAATTATAGGGATCCAAACTTACCTTCTCGAAAATTTCAGCCAGAAAAAAGGCTCCCGAAAATTCTAGGTGACCTTTTTAGGGTAAAAAATTCTGGGCAATTATAACATATTTTAGATGCTCGAAAATCCTAGGAGAAGCAGGCAAGCAGGAAATTTTATAACGAATGTTCAGAAGAATTCTAGATTTCAAATCGTCACCCGAACGGATATTTTCCGAAAATTGCCGTTAGGTGCCCCTGCAAAATGACTTGAAGGTAAAATCGACTATTTCAAGGTGGAATAGAACATCAATAAATAAATAAATAAGTAAAACGAAAGAGAAAAAAGGAAGTGAGGGTCTTAAGCGTTCTTGAGGAGAAATTTAATAAGGTTTAACTAATGCAGAAAAGGATTTGCTTTTAAAAAAAAGCAGTTGATACGGTGAAAGCTGTTACTCGTTTTCTGTCTCTCTAAATAACTGTAGTTATCCCTATTACTGACCAAACGTTGCCCTTGATTTTTTCATCTACATATTGCAGACTACGCTCTACACTTTCCAACTAAAGGCACCAGTGACTATGTGAACATTTGGGGTATGCCCAGCTTGACCCAGTTCACTGTATGTCTCTGGGTGAAGACAAACGCCACTACCGATGGTACTCCGTTCAGTTACGCTGTTCCCGGCCAACAGAATGAAATTGTCATCCTCGGCGTGAGGAACCCTGACATTTTCATTGCGGGTGGAAGCTCTAGGTACATTTTGCTGGTAAAAACGATGAAATGAGTCGTTAACAGATCTTAACAGTGTATATCCTGATCAATGACGAATTTTGCTTTATCCTCGGTTTTTTGTTTTTTTTTTTTTTGGAATTTTTTTTTTTTTTATTTTTTTTTTTTTTGTTTTTTGGCTTGGATATTTGTCTGTGACCGGCAAATAACTAAATACTTTTACATGATAATGTAATAGTTAAAGTAACCCTAAATCCCCTCCTGCATATACAACTCTAAAATTTTACACAACATAAAATTTTACGCTTTTCCCGGACACCAGAATGAAATTGTCCTCCTCGGCGTGGGGAACCCGTCCATTTTCTTGGGGGGTGGAAGCTTAAGTTACTTTTTGCTGGTAAAAAGGAGGAAATGATTTTTTATCGGTTTTTAACTTTGTATTTCTTTTTTAATGACAAATTTTGTTTTTTCCTCGTTTTTTTTTTTTTTTTTTTTTTCATGTTTTTTATATTTGTATTTTTATTTTTTTGCACTTTTGGCGTGAAATATGTAATGAAACGGGCAAATATCAAGACCATTTAAGAGGAAATGTTAACAATTGGACTACCATTCAAGCCCGATTTGCCAAGACAGTATTAAATTTTAAAATAAAGTAAGTTTTAATTGCCAAAGTAAAAAGGGGCTTACAATTTTCTTCTTACTCAGTTATTATTTCTTACAGTTTTACCTTACCTTCAACAAATGATGGAAAATGGCACCACGTCTGTTTATCCTGGGAAAACATCGCGGGCTCATGGAAATTATACAAAGATGGAGCAGTGGCAAAGCAAAGGGATTCGCTGGGAGCAGGGCACGTGATAATATCAGGAGGATCGCTTATGCTGGCTCAAGAGCAAGATTCTTTAGGTGGCGGCTTCGATATAAATCAATGTTTCATTGGGATGTTGACAAACGTCAATGTCTGGGATCACGTGCTTTCCCCTGCAGAAATCGAGAAGATGTCAAAATCGTGCCTCTCTGGGGAGGGAAACGTATATAAGTGGTCTGATTTCATTTATGGCCTTAAAGGGGAAACCAGAGTAGTCATTCCATCTCCTTGCAAACCAATGGCTTCCTAACTATAAGTTTGCTTATATAAAGCGTTGTAAATGTAGACTGAGTTTTGTACTTGTAACGGATCTGAATTCAGTGCTCTAAAGCGGTTTTTTAAACTAAAATTAGCGTGACAGTACAGCAATAAAATGAACAAAAATAAATTTGATAGAGTATGTTTTTAATGGTGTTTGTGGTTTTTGGAATAAAAAACTTGCCTTGCTGTTTGTAAAATCCTGGGTAATGTCAAAAACATGGTAAAAACGAAAAGTGAAGCATTGTGTTTTTATTGGACGGATCCAAAAGTTAATACCTGAGAGATGATAAATGTCCTAATATGTACTAAAGTTTATCGCATGTTAAGCCATCAAACCATTGCAGTAGCAAATAATTCTCAATGTAAATTTTATACCAAAGTTACACATCAGTCAAAGTTGAAAAACGACCGTATCGAAGACAAAATCGTTAAATACGATAGACAACGAGGAATCGTTGCATTTCTACGTCGTATATGTTGCATGTGATACTTTCCTTGTAACGTTAATTATAACAAATTATAGTGAAGAAATAGACTTCAAGTAAACTCTTTATCAGTGAAAAAGCCGAAAGGGATCGTAAACTTTTTTCTCTCAGTTTCAGTTTCTTTGAATCGGCTGAACTATTCTCTTGCAGGGGTGTTGTTAAGTTTAAAATAAACGACATCAGCGGCAAAACAATCATTATTGGTCTCACTACACCAGAAAACTTTAAAAATCTTAAAAAAAAACAAGACGGTTAACAAAAGAGCTGACAAAAGCGAAGCTTCAAAAACCTTATTCCTTGTTTTGTCAAGTTGTTTGTCAGTTTCTTGTTTTTATTCCTCGTTTAGTTTCCTAAGTTCCTCGTTGTATTTTTTCAAAAGTATTCATTTCTTATCGAGTACAGATAATATTTTTTCATACTTATTATTGAATTGACTTTGCCCGCGAAGTGCTTCCATTTGATGCATGAAAAAGTTAATTAATCAACGCTAAGGAGATGATGAAGTACTGTTTAGCTGTATGTGTATTTCAGTTGTTTTCGCGCTGAGAAACGATATCCGACAAAATTTGGATTGTGGCCAACCGAGCGACAAATATAAGGTACGAGACTGAAATTTTAGTACAAGCAGCGCGCATGAACGGAAAAGGAAATTGTGGGCTTTCATTATTCACGTGCCGCAAGTAAATCGTAAATAATTATACTCAGTGACAAAAATTTGATCTTCTTCGCGTTTCTGTGAAGTTGAAAATTTAGTCTACGAAAAGAAATGCGACCATGAATATTTTGGATATTTTAGAAAGGGAATAAAGTATTCCAGGGCAAAGATTCGTTTAAAACTGCCCTCCTTCTTACGAATAATTGCATGTCTCCCCCGATGAGAGTTGCACACTGCCAACGGTCTCGGTACATACTATACGTCATCTGACAGACTTTTGGATTTTTTCCCGTTTAACAGCGTGCTGGCCTTGCTAAAGCACGCCAATAATTTGAACTTTTGTAATGTTGCCAATGTTTTGGCCGATGGAAGCAACAAACAGGAAACATTTCAATGGCTATAAACTTCGTTTCCTGCTGCTGCGCTGGCAAGCACATACTCGGGGGTTAAAACTACATTTTTAGCATTTGGCGCTTTCCTAAGCGAGTTGAATAGATTTCTGAAACTCACACAGATGAGTGGTCAGATATTTATTGAGGCTGCCGTAAAGGAGAAACCATGCAAAGTAGTTATTCCATCTCTTTGTAAGTCCGCCGATCAAGACATATACTTTTTCACTGACTCTCCTTTTTTTCTACTTTTCTTCCATCCTTTCTTTTTTGCTTCTTTCTGCTTTTGTTCACCCACTAAACCCTAAGCAATACCTGTCTGGTTCAATTGCCACTCCGTCCTCTAAGGAGATCAAAATCTGCAATTTATGCCGCGAGACGACGAGCTTTCCCGCCCCTAACGTACGTTTTAGCGACATCTTGAAATTTTAGCAAACTTGAGAACTGAATTGCGCAGCAAATCTTACTTTTAAAGAACATGTCAGTGAGTTCAAATGATGAAAATTTTATATGGGTTTATAGTTATTGATGTCGACGATCAACGTTTTGAGCGAATAACTTATCACTCTACACGTATGATAAAGGGAAAGGATAAGAACACACTTCAGAAATCATCAACCTATTTGCGTTAGAACTTCCTTTTGCACCTGTCTGTTTATGAACTTGAGTCTGTATTGCCTTCATTAATTCACCCGACATATTCTGTATTTACCCTCTATGTATGGAAAAGTTGCGCCGGTCGACCTCGTTGCGGGTGTTAACCCACAATAAACGTGAAGTCTTACTGAATAATTTTGACGTTCCGGTGCAAGGGTCGCTCACTGAACGGAACAAGAAGCTATCGACTTGACTTGTGTGCTACACTGGGAAAAAAAAGATTTTAAAGCCTTTCAGATTCAGTTCTTCTCAGTTTCAGTACGGTATTGTTGACGTTTCTGTTGTTCAAGCGTTTCTTGTGAAACGGAACAGGAAATTACTGGCTATCAGTGGATATCGCTCCATGCCTGCTAGTACAAAATCACTCGTACATATCCGCTTTTGTTCATTTTCTTGGCCAGTTGAGTAGAGAACTCAGTTTTGAAGAAAGCTGATAAATTTTTTTTCAGAGATAAGGTAAGGCAGGATATCAAAACTGATTGATAGGACAATCAGCCAATCAGTCTGATTTCGTTGGGCACAGTGAAACTGTATTTTGGAAGATTTCTACATAGAATCAGATGTATACGTTTGCATAGCACCTAACTCAAAACTGAACCATATTTACTAGTTTGTTTTTGATCCAAAACAGTAGTACCAAAAACATCAAAAGATCATCTATTTATCTCTGTTATCTGTACTCCTTTTTAATCCTATTTAAAATTTTGTAAAGTTGAAAGAGAAATCTGCAATTATTCATCACTGTAGGCTTAGATTCTAATGGTCTATCGGGCAAAATATTCGCACAGCGTCATTTTATCAGAAATGACTATCTCGTTACCTAATCTAACTAACTTAGTTCACTTTTGTTTTAGAAAAACTGCGATGCGTGCATTGTACCTTTGTGTTGGTTTTGGCCTGGTCTTTGGATCTGTCAAACTGTCATCGGCTCTGACCGGTAAGAATTTAACTTAACCATAAAACGCTCTGGCAAGCTTTTACTTTTATACATTGTACTTGTAGCGGACATAAACAAAATTACGTGAAAAACGGCCATGAGCAATGAGGAACAGCACAAAAAGGACAAAGGCTGAAAAAAAAGAGGACTCTTCTGAAAAAAAGAAGCAGATGAGAGTTTAACAGTTGAGAATAATTGGACGGGGCAATGAACAGTTCTAGAGAGAAAGGTACTGCGAAGCCCGGAAAAACCGTTAGCTTTTTGGCTTTTGGTTGTTTACCATTAACAAAAAGTTTTCGGAAAGTTCGTTGGAAAGTAAATGGAACAACACTTTTTAGATCATTTCAGAGGAAAAATAAGGAGCATAGGAACATCTGAAAAGGTAGTCCTGTTTCCCAGACGGACTGTTCCAAACGAAAATTCGAGTTCCATTTCTCCAAAGCCCTTTTTGATACCGGTTTCAGGCTTTGATGGAACCCAGATTTGTACAAATAGTAAACGCGATTTCGGGACGAAAGTCACGGTTTACCAGTCCCGAATTTTGCTTACAATTTACGCAAACCGTAACCGACC